ACTGAAAACATAAGTCATGACTGAAAAGCACTGCAAGTCATTCACTGTAAAAATCACATCTGCTCTAGCTTTCTCTGATTCTTTGAGGAGCAAGTCAACAACATTTTATTCTTCAGCAATTCATTTAATCTTACTCGAATCTTTTCAATGATCCAATTCACAAAACCTGAAATGGAGGGCAAGAATATTTTACATTTTTGTCCGTCACATTATGATATGGCTTCAAAACACTTTGAATATAGCACACAAGCCATGTCAAGTTTTAGGGTTAGTAAGATTTTTTTTCCCCCTTAATGTTTTTGAAACAAGCCTCTTTTGTTCACCAAGGCTATGTTTATGTTATCATAACTGTTTTCTATTTTAGTCTTTTTTTAAAATCTGATTTATTCCTGTGATGACAAAGCTAAATTTCAGCATCATTACTCCAGTCTTCAGTGTCACATGATCCTAAAGTCACCTACATCTTGGATGCCCTGGGGGTAAGCAGATAAACATCACATTTTCATTTTTGGGTGAACTATCCCTTTAAAATGAAAATTTTTCATTGGCAACTTAACTGAAAATGTTTAAATTGAAGTTCTAAAATCACTAATACTAAAAAAGCTAAATAGAAAAACAAACATTACAAAGGCACAAAATTCAAGTGACAACTGAAAATATAAAAATAAAAGCTAAAACTTCTAAATAAATACTATAATAATATATAAATAATACTACAGTAACCCTTTAGCTGGTATATTCTGCTAAATTTCTTATTTTGTGTTCCACAGATGATATAGTCTATAGATATAGACAAACTAACACTACAGTTGAAGTCAACCTCAATCACCAAAGAATGTTCTTATTAACTGCACAGTAATGCATCTAAAATCATTCAAAATGTATATACTATATTCCAGTGACAAACATACAGTTCATATCATCAGTCTACATAAAGCTTTGCATTGTAAAGTAGAATAGTTCAAATACCTTGAGTACTGCTACAACAATCTGGGAAGTTCCAGCCTGTACGGCCACAGTGGTGATTGTTGTTGTGGAAGGCTGACCTCCAACATCACCTTCACTGGACATCGTGGACATTGTCCCCTCGAGTCCACACATCCAAGAACCAGAAAGGTCAGAACAAAGCTCAGTACACACAGGTTTGTGCTGTAATCCAAAGCTCCCCTTTTCAAAAGTCCACAACTGTCCCGACAGGCGGCTAAACCCAGAGTGAAGTCTCTGGGGTTTTTAAAGTGACACGGCCCACGTCCACATCAAAGATCCACTTGCCCTGCAGGTAAACTCTGCAACTCCTCAAAGGGCTTTCAGCATTGCTGTGCTCTTACAGGCTCCACCGGGGCCACTGGCCTGAATGAACAGTATGGTGCAAACACAGCCGTCTATGTTGACAGGGCAGAGAGAGGCGTGTTAAAAATAGAAATATCCACTAAGTTTATCACACTGTGCAGAGAGCCATTTGACACACCCCCCGTTAGGTTGCTTTGGTGAGTCTGTTGCTCTCTCCCCTCCCCTTGCATGTCTCACTATGACTAACCTTTGCTTTTCATCACAATAGAGCATATTGGAAACAATGATACTTAGAAAAATAGCTCACCATTTTGCCATTATTTAGTAATTTAGTCTCATGTCAAAAGGACAAAATATATTATTATTCCTGTGATGACAAAGCTAAATTTCAGCATCATTACTCCAGTCTTCAGTGTCACATGATCCTTCAGAAATCATTCTAATATGTGGATTCAGTGTTCGAGGCTAAACTAATATGTGTTGAAACCAGAGATACTTTTTTTCTTATTAAACCTCTTTTGTGTTCCACATAAAGTCCAACATTTTGACCAACATGAGGGGAAAATAAATGATAGAATGTTCATTTTTTGGTATACTAATCCCACCAGAAGTGTTTATTTTCACTGAAACTATACTTTGTCATCAGCATAATTAAATGGTAAGAAATGACAGAAAGGCATTCTCAGCGTGCCCTGCATGGCATCTTTCCATGTTGTAGCATGTGTTTAAAATGAGCAGGAGCATGGAAGAGGCTTGTTCTGTCCTTAAATGCCTGTTCCAAACCACAGACCACCACAAAACCACATTACGTTCCTTCCTATTAAATGTAATGGCTACTAAATTATTCAAATAACTGCTTTTAGAAATCCCTTATATTTCTTTCTATCACATTATTCCACCAAACAACAACAATGTGCAACTACAACCAGTCTGATGCATAAAATAAAGGACGGATACACTATCACACGAGTCAAGTATTCTAGAGAGACGTGCGATATTTGTATACCTACAGTACATGTTGTTTATACACTTATTTAGTATAGATTTATGCAAATTAACAATGATACAAACAGTGATGTTGCGAGCAATTAAAAAAATAAATAAATCAATGAATAAAAGGTTATTTGAAGGTGGCAGATTTTAATGTGTATCAGTCAACCACAGCATAATAGACGGAAAAGGCCAGAGAGACTCTCTGATAATGACCAGTCCCAAGAGAAACAGTCCCCCAAATTCTTAAAGGGATAGTCCAACCAAAAAAAATGAAAATTTACTCTCATGTCATTCCAAACCGGTGTCCATTTCTTTTTTTCTGCAGAACATAAAAGATTCCACAGATAATGTCAAACAGGTTTAGAATGACTATAAAGTAAATGTCATAGAATGTCATTTGATTTTTATTAAACTGATCTATCCATCAAAGAAAAGCGATGTATGACAGGGTCCACAAATACATTAAGCAGCCCAACTGTTTTCAACATTGAGAAACGTTTCTTAACCACCAAATCATCAAATTAGAATGATTTCTGAAAGATCATGTGACACTGAAGACTGGAGTAATGTTGACGAAAATCCAGCTTTGCAAGCAAATTGTTTTAAATTTCAATATTTCATAATATTACTGTTACTGTATTTTTTGATCAAATAATTGCAGTCTTGATACATAAGAAATTTCTTTCAAAAACATTAACAAAATTTTACCAACCCCAAACTTTTGAACAGTAGTATATTTCAGTGACGTGCATCATATTGTAATATGGACATTTTATACTTGGCATTCCTAGAATAAAAAAAAAAAAAACTTTCTGGAATGATCACTGTGAAACTTTAGTTCAGCATCACACCACATACTTACTGCTGCAGTAATGTTGTCTTTTCCAGTGAGGACAATAGTGTCTGCAGAACATCCTGAGGTCCTCCTATGGGGTCTTCCTATCAAAGCCTGATGGAGGAAATGTTTTGAGATAAAGAGGGGACGTTTATAACAACAGGGCAGCATTGGAAGAGCAATTCAGCTGTGCATTTTACGTTCAACAATTAATCAGCATTTTCCACAGATGATTTTACAACGTAGGACACCCGTCACGGTGAACATGGTGAGGAAGATTATAGACACAATGATGCCATTTTATCTACAAAGAACATTGTGAGCTCTTTGGTAAAACAGAAATATGTACAAGACAAAAATATGTATTATAATACACTTTACCATAATATTTTAAACAGGTTATCCATGAGTGAATTTCTATGACCATGTGATTTCCAGTATAAGATTTGTTTTTTTTTTAATCATTCCAATTTAGACTTCAGTGCAGACTAGGAACTGTTTAAAAGCCTGCCAGTTAAAGCTATTATCAAGGTGTCCAGAAAACTGTCACAGACTTCTGTCTTTTTCCACTGTTACAGACATCCCAGCAGTCCTCCCAAAACCAGTACAGAGGCAGCAGCTGCTAAGACAGCTGAGAAATCCAATAGACTTTAGAGAGCACCAATGGGCAGTGCAGGACTAAGTAAGAAGGGCCCTGTGGCCCCAGACGACACCCATGCCATCTGTCAAGGGCCCTGATAAACTCAGAAGGTTATTATTAGACAGAACACTGATTCTCAGGCCAGTCATCACATAAACTCTGTGACTAAGCTTTCTGGAAACATGACAAGCATGCATGTTAAAATTGACACCCTTTACATCTTTAAAAAATCGGAATAAAAAGATGAACGTCGAGTTGTCACAGGATTTTTTGCTGTGATGATGCTTAAAACTTGAATAACATAAGAACATCACTTAATAACATTATTAACATTAAGATACTAAGCTACATCAATACCAAATAAATAAATGAGAGAATTTTCTCCATGCAAACTTTAATTACTTGATATTTAATATTCTTAATATTTTTGAGGGAAAATGTGACCTAAACATGTTTTGGACAGGTTTAATGCGATCAAATCAATGTCCAACTATGTCAGTGATTCTCAGTACAAACTAAGTGAATCATTTAGAGCCTGTAAAATAACAAGAAAGCAAGAGTTTGAGGCAAGCAGCTGAAGTCTGGAGTAAAACTCAGTATGAAATATTCAGTATAAAAATATCTTAACCTTGTCTAAACTGATACAAAATTGATAAAGACTTTCTCCTGAAATGCTGCACAGGGCAGAGAGAATGTAAGCGAATAGCAACGCCGCAGGCAACTAATGACCTGCTTGACTTATGCACTCACAGCCTGGTATCTTGGGAAGTTATAAGAAACCATTTATATAGAAACAAGTCAGAGTTCATGCAATATGCATGAAGACTTTTTAGAAATATATTTACTGCACAAACCAGCCAACAGCCCCCCAAAAAAGAATCATGGTTTCCACAAAGATAATATAAAGAAATGTTTCTTGACATTCTTGCATTAAATCAGCATATAGGAATGCTTTCTATAGGATCTGAATTATAATATTTCACTGTTTTTACTGTATCTTTGATCAAATATATGGCCTTGCCTTGATGAGCATGAGACTTCTTTTAAAACATTGTAAACTCTTACTAACCCAAATCTTTTGAACACTAGTGTAGTAAATTAGTATGCACAACAACTGGTATAATCAGCCAGAAATGCTGCACGGACCAAAAAAAAAAAACAAACAAAAAAAATGCAACATTGCCCATGTTTATTGAGAGTGCTAGAATATTCCTGTACAGCAATGGACAATGAGGCAGATTTATGCAAAGCACACATACAGTAACAAAGTCCTGTAAACTGTAACAACTCGGCAGCTTTATGACGTTGTAAAAGAGACAGCCTTTCCTCTCCCGTCTTATGGTGCAATTGTTTTCTTAATTTATTTTACACAACTTATATTTTCATAAAATACACTATAGCCTTTAAAAATAGCAAAAGCATTATACAATTTAAATGGTATGCAAGGTACAAAAAAAAAAAAAAGGAAAATAAATATGAAATTAATATTTTATGACATGCATCCATATGCAAGCAGCGTACGCATTAGACAATTTATGAGATGAAACATAGCTCCGTTTCACATTTTACTGTCAAAACAAAGCTCTAAACAACAATTCGACATTGGACCTTAAAGCTTTGCTTTGTTTGTACCTTCAATGTTGAACTACAACAGCTTCAGTTTCTGATGTGCTGTCATGTCCCGGTTCTACATTAAACACCATCTTCAGCAAAGGCCTTGCGGATGGATATTTATACTGGCATAAGAGAGAAGGTTTGGTAATTCTCAACAGAAAGCAACCGAAGGAAAGAAATAGAAAATACAATGCTTACGGTCAGGAAAGGCCTACAAATCTAGAGCACCAGATACAAATGGGATAAAGATGCCGCTTTATGTACATTCTATAGGTTTAGTAGCACCATTACAAGCTCAAGGTGCCTCGCTGGGAGGAGAACGAGTCGACAGGTAAGGTAAAGCTTTGTAGGGAGGCGAGAGTTCAAAGTAGTGTGGTCGATTTAGTATTCAGCTGTCCACGCAGGCAATGCAACGCGAGCCCGTGGAGTCTATCTTTAACTGCGCTCGGAAAGTTAAGATGGCTTGGTGAGGTGGAGTACAACAGAGACGGTGGGTGATCTGGGTCACATTTGGACCGGGCCGGCAGAGCAGCGAGATGATCAGAGGATCAGGTGCTGTGCTGCCATCTGCAACACTTCCTGCAAGAGGGCATGAGGGGTATCGGCTTCTCAACTCTCCCTGGGCCCCGCCTCCAGAGCCTCCTCATCCAGCCGCTGCTCCACCTCTTCCTGTAAGAATCTCTTTTCCTCCACCAGTTTCATCCGTTCACGGATGCTTTCGGCAGAGGAGGCCATGTCGCCCGGGCTGCCGAAGAACTGCTCGCTCCTGCAACCGGGGCGAATGGGGAGAGAGGGAAATGATGACAAAAACAAAACATTTTCATCTTAGTGATTGTTGAATAACTGCCCAAGATGATAAAGCAATCCAATTAAGGAAGTAAATATTAAAAGTTTATGCTTAAATGGGTAAAATTAGTTTGAGGCAAATAGAAAACTTACATATTTATTTA